ATCCCACTTGAAATTCCAAGGGGGGTGTGGCTTCCCTGGCGCCGTGCTCACGCCCATACTGGCTGCTGATTGGCTGGGGAGCCGCCACCCTTTGCTCCCTTTGGTCCTTCCCCTCGCCATCCCCTTGGGGCTGGTCCCTCTGCTGGGGATGTACCAATTAACCCCACAGTAAGGGTGAAGGAGGGAGGGAATTTCACATTCCCTTGTTCTAGATTCACTTTAACGCTTAATGCCTTCGAAGTTTTGTTTTTTTAAGGAAAAAAAATATATATATATATATTTAGGTTTTGGGGGGAAAGGGAAATTTTTTTTCTCTTTGGTTTTGATAAAACGGGGTATGGGGAGTTTTTAAATGCTATACCCCCAGGCTTGTCACATTTGGGGCAGCTATTTAAGAAGGGGATGTCCCACCAGGCTGGGGCACCTCCGCCCACCCCAGGGACCTCCCCTCCCTCTGGCACCTTGCCCTTTTCTATGAGGAATTAAGATGCTGTAACTTTTTGGAACCTCGGTTTTTTGGATTTTTTATTTGGGTAGGTTTTGGGGTCCAGGCCATTTTTACCCCCTTAGGGAAAATGAAGATGAGGAAGAAAGGAAAGGGGGAGATCTCCCCTCTCCCACCTTCACCTTTAGCTTCTTGAAAATGGGCCCCTTCGGAATAAATCTGCCAATTTTTATAAATGCTAAGATTTCTGGAGTGATTCAAAGGGCTGCTCTGATGAGGATGGGGGCGTGTCCCCCCAGCGATCTGCATGCCCCTCCTCTTCCTTCCCGCCCTGCACCTGTTCCGGTTCCCTCAGGCTGCTGCAGTCAGGGCGGTTTCTGCTCCCTCTGGAGCTCTCAACAGACTGCCCTCCCTCCCCTGCCCCTTACCAGGGGCCTTCCTCGCTGCCCTCCTCAACCAATCCACCACCCTCGAGAAAGCCAGGGGATAGTCCCTCGTGGGCTGTGTGGCCTTGGGCAAGTCCCTTTGCTTTCCCTGGGCCTCAGTGTCCCCATCTGGGATAGAGCTCATAGGATGACCCTCTGCTCCCTGCCCACCCAGCTTCTCTCCTGGTTTTAATGACCATTGTATCCGTGGTTCTCAGACACATTCTTAAGATGACTTCTTTACCCAGAGCTCCTTTAATTGTAAAACATCAACAGTCTAAAAAAATAGAATTCAGAAGTCGCAGAGCTCATGCATACCCGCCCGCCCCCGAGCAGTTCAGTGGGTTGGCAGCAGGTAGGCTGGGTAGGCAACACTGTCTGGTGGAACAGTCCCTTGGGATGGGAGTGGGGAACTTAAGGGCTGAGGGGCTGGGGGTCCCACGGAGGAGGTCTTTGCATGAAGGGGGTCGAGGGGGCCTGGGGGTCCAGTCCAAGGGTAAGAAGGATGGGGGAATCCCTGAGTACTGAAGAGCAGGCTTGGAAGGTGGGGGGTGTGACAGTTACCCATAGAGCAGGGAACAGGTGGGTCCCTATGAGAGGCCAGCTAGGGGGAACTGTGGGTAAGAACAGCAGTAGTCCAGACCTTCTGGACAGGTAAACTGGGGGCTTTGGCCATACCAGAATTGTTCAGCTCTAGGCAGGACCATTTTTCTACCCTGAAGGGCCATGTCCCGCTGGAACAGATCACAGAAAGTGGGGAGCAGGGAGAGCTGGTGGAAATGCAAGAGAGGACCCCACGCGGCCTTCCCCAGGGGGTTGTGCCACAGACTAAGGGAGGGGGGGTGCGGGGCAGGTCTGTTGGACAGATCCACTTGAGGAGAGGACCCCAGTAGAGGTACCGATGGTGGACTGAAGACAGGCGCCACTGAGTGGCCCATTGGACCTAAAGTCGTCCGAGATCCATCCCATTCCCTGCACCACAGGGTGAGGTAGGTGGCCGGGGCGGGGCGGGCAGTCCAGCGGAAGTGTCTCCATTATTACAATGGACTGTACCAACGAGGAGGGGGCAGAGTGTCCCTCCCACCCCCCGTGCGATGGCTGAGGCCCCCGGGAGAGGATCACTCCTCCGGTAAGTGGAGGTGTGAATGACAGAATGAGCTGGCCAGGTCCCTGTGTCCTGCTGGCCCACCTAGTGGGGGGAAGTGACCAAACGCCTGGTTGGATCAGCCCCAGTGTAAGATCCTTTCCGCCCTACAGGGACGGGGTGGTAATAGCTAGGCCGGTTCAGGAACGAACAGTGTGGACAGACAGGAGGCCAAGTCGGAGAAGTCGCAGCCAAGACAACAGTCACGTGCAAGACCAGGGCCCTGCGGCCTCCTACTCCTGGGACGCGGGCTCCGTCTGGGGCGCAGACGGCGCGTCCGAGTCCGGCTCGCAGAGCTGGGCGCGCATGTCTTCCATCTGCGCCCGCAGCTCCTCCAGGGCGCTCAGCGGCGCCGCCGCCCGCACCTGCGCCTGCAGCTGCTCCAGCGCCAGCTCCAGGTGGTCCACGTCGCCCTGCACCGCGCCCCAGGCAGCTCGCTGCTCCCCCTCCTTGCGACGCTGTTGCATCTTCTGGCGCCAGTACTCCAGCACCAGACAGCCGCCGGCCACCAAGAAGACGGTGGTTTCGCCCAGCAGCTCGGCGCCCAGCTCGACGGCCGCCGCCTCGTTCAGCGGCTTGACGGCTTCGGTGTTCAAGCCCATGATGCGCAGCTTGGCCCGCATCTCCGCCCAGTGGTACACTGTGGGGAAAGAAAGGGGCCAGGGATCTTTTGCTGGGGAGCCCCCTGCCACCCCGCCCGTAGATGCTTCAGTGTCCTGGTGGGAACCGTGGGGACACGGCAGCCCGAATCTCCGCGGTCGGGGAGTGGGCGCCGGGCGTCGCACGCGGAAAGCCCAGTTAGGTATCTGGGCTGGGAGGGCCCGGCGGGCATCTTTGGACGGCGTCCAGAAGATTCTGAGAGACGCTGCCCTGGAAGGGAGGTCCTGCGACCCCCGCCGCACGGCTGGAGTGGTAACAAGTCCAGAGCCGGAGCTCAAGCTCCCTCCCTCCGATCTCCGCCCCCTGCCACCCGAGGCCAGCCTGGCTCCCTCCCCGCTCCCCGCAAGGCCCTTGAAGTGTGCCCTCTGAGCGGTCCGGGGCTTGGGGAGGAGCGCGGGCCTAGAGCCACGCTGCTCTCGCTTCTTTACCTAATCACTTATTCACGTGAATAAGGCTTAGCAGCACTGTCACCGTTTAGAAATGTTACATATAGAGCTGATGCTGAGACCTGACCCACTCCAGTAGTAAATAATATTCACGCATAGATACACGAACTGATGGGGGGAAAGAAGCCTCTTCGGGCTCATTAGGAGATGAATTCCTGAAAACATTTTATACTTCATCCCTTCCAACTATCGTTTACAGCAGTCAGGCTGATGTAATTACCTTTTCTTCCTTTTAGTGAGAATACCTTATGCCTGAGGTGTGGGGGTGGTGTTTAGAAGGGGGTATACTGAAAAAGGAAGTCCATCTTTGCCCCTCAGCCTTTAATCTTACTCCTCAGAGGTTAACCATTTTTGATCTCTTCTGCATTTACTTCTTCCCTATGATGCCAAATCACAAGCTTATACCTCAATTTCGTAGTTTACCAAATTGAATTTTTAAAAAGATTATGACTTGATTTTCCACTCCCACCCCTTATCCTGTGAATTTTTAACACATATTCTATATCCTCTCCTTTCCCAATTTTCGAAAGTGATTCTTATTTTGTTACTATTTATTGGTAACATTTGTAATTCTAAATAACATGCCTATTGCTTCAACTTCCTGGCACCTGTACCATATTAACTGCCCTGCCCTGCCTTCGACCCTCCCCCTTCCACCTCCAGTGGTCTGTTTACCATACTACTATTTTTACATTGTCAAGGTATCTTTCTGAGGTTATACTAAGTATTTACTGTGCCTTGTCCATAGGCTGAGGTCTGAAAATGAAAATGTAGTGTATGTATACTCTTAAAGCTCTGTAAATACTAATTACTGTGGATCCATAATGAAGACGTCATTTTATTTCAGAGCCCATGTTCTATGCTGTCTGAAGCATGAACATTAAATGGCTTTAAACATTGCTTCGTGTCATGCCACACTTGAGTTTTCTCATATTTAGACCTTGATTTTACTGTATGAAGTTTTCAGTTTTCTCTACAGTAGTGTTTCTGCCAGATTTAACCCCCAAATGGCTCTCTCTGTGACCGAGATCATCCAGTTCTCTGCTCCTATTCTCTTTATTAGTCAGCTGTAGACCCACTGGCTGTGTCCTGGGCCACTGCAGGGCTGTCCTCCCAACGTCCTCACATTGTCCCCTTCACACTGTTCCTTCTCTTGAGGAATCTGTGTCCTCCTCTTTGTTGAATTCCATTTTAGTTTTGCTGAAGTATATCCCTACATACCTTTTTCAGAAAGAGTGCACGGTAGGTAAGTGTTTTTGGATCTCTGCCTTTTTTAAGTATCTTTTTCCACTTTCACACTAGACTAGATGATACTGTCTCCTCTCGGCCCAGAATTACGAGTTCAGAATCATAATCCTCAGTAGTTTAGAGTCCTGGTTCTATCATTTGTAATGGGCAGAGGTGTTTGTTGTTGTTGTTGTTGTTGTTGTTGTTGTTGTCATTGTTTGGTCATTCTTGTGTCTCTGACATTGCACCAGGATGAGTTTATGAGTGAGTTTTTCTTGTTTCCATTATTTTATACTTTTCTATCTGAACTTTGTTTCTCTCTTTAGTCCTTGGAATTTTTCTTGTCTGTGAAATACAGGATTAACTTTACCCAAATAGGGGCCTAGTCTGTGCCCTTTTGTCCTGAGAAGTAACTCTTTAAGTCCTTGGAATGTCCTGCCTGATAAGAGTGTCTTTGTTTACCTGGGGCCTTGGCCATGCCAGATAATCTACACTAGGGATGTGATTTATGGTGACAGCTTTGGGCCACCTATGGCTCAACCTTGGAGGGGCTAGAAACTAAAGTCAGCCACACTTATCTGTAGGACCCATCTGCATTCCCTGGTGACAATACTCCATGCATTTGTCACTCATTGTTGCTGGGAGAAGATAGCGCTGTCCACAATTCCACCAGGAGAGGACAGAGGAACACTAGAAGCTCCCAGTTGGCACTCCTTTGGATTCTGCCCCATGAACCTCTTCCTGTGGCTGATTTTAATCTATATCCTCTCTCTGTAATAAACTGTAACCGGAAGTATAACGATCAGTGAGTCTCCGTGAGTCCCTCTACCAAACGAGTGAAACTGGGGATTGTTTGGGGGCCCCCTGAACTTGCAGTTGGTGTCAGAGTGAGGGTGGTCTCGACAACCCCCTGGCTTTGCACATACGGTGCATCTCCTCCTCCCTCTTTTCCCTTAATTCTCATCTGGAGCACGTCCCATCCCGGGCTGGCACGCTGCCTGCACTGGTCCTTCCCCTCCTGAGACCTTCCCCTCCTGTGTTTTCATCATTCCGCTTTGTTCCACATTCTGGGGGCTTTCACCAACTTTTCCGTTCAGAAAATCTTTCAGTTTGGGGGTTTTTTGTTTTGTTTTGCAACCATATTTGTGATTTTTCATTGTCTTTATGAAAAAGAATGTATTATAAAAGATCCAAATACGGAGACGAATTTAGAGTCTCTATGTAGCTTTTTAAAATCTACATCTGGAGAAGTGGACTAATTGAAAACTCTGAGAGTGTGGGTGGCTCAGGTTGACTGGCAGCTACGCTAGAGTTTGTGGTGTAGAGAACAGGTGGGTAAGACCCAACGAGGCAGGCCTGACACCAGGGGCTGACTCTCAGTTATCTCTCCTGGAGCCCAGGCTCCTCACTGGTCTTCCCCGCTCGGTCTCACCCCCTCCAGCCCAGCACCCACAAGGCAGCCAGAGGAGTCTTTCTAAAGCATAAATTTGACCACGACCTCCCCCTGCGACCCCGCTATGGCTCACAGTACCCCCAGGAGAAAGATCAAAATCCTTAGCATGATTTTTAAGGCCTCCAAACTTCTCTCAAGCCTGACCTTTGGGAAGAACTGTCCCCACACTCCCAAGTCTGTTGTTTCATATAGACTTTCCTTGTCTGTCTGTAATTAATTTTTAAATGATAAGCAGACATCTTGTGATAGGGGTATGGATTGGTTCCTTTTTCCCTGCGCGCTTGGAGCAGGAACTTTTAATCATCAACAGGATGCTAATCTATAAGACACAGGGAGAGATCAGTTCACTGGGAAAGTCCCTACTCCAGGCCAGGCCAAGTTCCCTTAGGTGAGTGATAAGTGTCATTGAGGTGTTTGATTTCACTCTAGTGGGAGGGGTCCTACTGACTGTTCTGGATGGGTTGAGTCAAGGTGAAAACCCTAGAATAGGAATGACAAGGTTCAAGGTACGAAAGCCACCACTAAACAGTTTTCTCTGACTGTAGCCTGGAGACAAGGTCAGACCTAATCTGTGTGACTTTGATAACTTATTTGTTAATCACACAGACAGATACACACACACACACACACACACACACACACACACACACGGCTTTTGAGATTGTAGTTGGGATTACCCGAATCTATAAACCAATTTAGTAAGATCTAACATCTTCACAATATTGAATCTTCAAGTCCATGAACATGGTATCTCTCTTTATTCAGGTCTTTTAAATTTTATTTCGATAATGTTTTATAGTTTACTGAATAGAGGTCTTGTAGATTCCCATGTATTAGATATTTTTTATACTATTTTGATGGCATCATTGTAAAATTTCATTTTCTATTTGTTACTGGTACCGATGATAGGAATTAATTGATTTCTATATATTGACCTTAAATCCAGTAACCTTGATAAATTATTTCTTATTCTTATTAGTTCTTATAATTTGTCCATCGATTCTTTAAACTGTACATATCTGGTCAGCTGCAAATAAGAACCATTTTTTCCTTCCCGATTTTTTGTCCTTTATTCCTTGGCTCCTTCTGATATCAGGGAAGAAAGTATGGTATTTACTGTAGGACTTTATCACACTAAGGAAGTCCCCTGTATTCCTAGATTTCTGAGAGTAATTTTTTAAATCATGAATTGGGTGTCTATTTTTATTAAATACTTTTCTTGTACCTATCTACAGGATAAGTCATTTTTTTTTCCTGTAAATATAGTGAATTACATGGACTAATTTTCCAAAATGTTAAACCACACTTGGATTTCTGAAATGATATACATATTTTTAATATATTGTGGGATTCGATTTACTAAATTTTTATGGATACCTGTGTTGATGTGCATGAGAGAGATGGACTTCAGTCCTTCTCAGGTTTGGGGGTCATAGTGACTTCATAATCCAGGCGGGGGGGTGTTGCTAATTTTTGTAATCTCTTCAGGAAGAATCTGTAATGGATTGGAATCAACTGTGTTGTAAAAATATCAGTTTTCCCTGAATTTATCCGTAGATTTGATGCAAAACCAAAGTCTAAGCAAATTCTTTTGTTCTACGTAGAGAAAACAAAAAACCAAAAAACACCTGGACGCCTACCTCACAATCTACACAAAACTCAGTTTCATAGAGTTTGGAGATGAAAACGTGAGAGGCACAAACAACGCTTTTAGAAAAAAAAAAACATAGGCTAGTATCATCATAACTTTGAGCTGGTCGCTATTTGTGAATATTTGTTAAAACATAAAAAGGACTAGGCTTAAAAAAAAAAGTTTGACATCGTAGACTACCTTGAAATTAAGAACTCTAATTC